GTTTAAACAACATGAGCATACTTGAAAACTTATGGCTTGTTTTTTTTCCCCTTGTTTAAAAACATATGAAGAAGACTAGTTCTGTACAGCTTTGACACAGTCCCCCACACCATCCTTCTCTACAAATTGGAAAGATACAGATTTGATGGGTGGACTGCTTGGTGGATACAGAATTGGTTGGATGGTCGCATCCAGAAAGTAGTGGTCAACAGCTCGATGTCCATATGAAGATCAGTGACAAATGGTGTTCCTCAGGGGTCCATATCGGGACCAATAGTGTTTAATATCTTCACCAACAACACAGACAGCAAGATCGAGTGCACCCTCAGCAAGTCTGCAGATGACACCAAGCTGAGTGGTGCAGTTGACATGCCAGAAAGACAGGAGGTCATCCAAAGAGACCTGGACAAGCTTAACAGGCAGGCCTGTTAGGTTCAACAACCTCATGAGGTTCAACAAGGCCAAGTGCAAGGTCCTGCACCTGGGTGGGGGCAACCCCCGATATCAATTACAGGCTGGGGGATGAGTGGATTGAAAGCAGCCCTGCTGAGAGGGAATCGGGGATACTGTACAGAAGCTGGCAATGTGCACTTGCAGCTCAGAAGGCCAACTGTACCCCGGGGTGACAAAGAGAAGCGTGGCCAGCAGGTCGAGGGAGGGGATTCTGCCCCTCTACTCCACTCTGATGAGACCCCACCTGGAGCGCTGCATCCAGCTCTGGAGTCCTCAGCACAGGAAAGACATGCATCTGTTGGAGCAGATTTAGAGAAGGGCCACAAAAAATGATCAGAGGGCTGGAGCACCCCTCCTGTGATGAAAGGCCGAGAGAGTTGGGGTTGTTCAGCCTGGAGAAGAGAAGGCTTCAGGAAGACCTTATCATGGCCTTTCAATACTTAAAAGTATTCTTACTTATAAGAAAGATGGAGACAGACTTTTTAGTAGGGCCTGCTGTGACAGGAAAAGGGGTAATGGTTTTAAACTAAAAGAGGGTAGATTCAGACTGGATATAAGGAAGGCTTTTTTTTTTTTTTTATGATGAGGGTGGTGAAATACTGGAACATGTTGTCCAGAGAGGTGGTAGATGCCCCATCCCTGGAAACATTCAAGGTCATGTTGGACAGGGCTCTGAGTCCCTGCTCATTGTAGGGGGGTTGGAGTAGATGACCTTTAAAGGTCTCTTCCAACACAAACTATTCTGTGATTCTAACAGAAAGCAAGGAAGTGACTGAGATAGCAGTAAAAAGCACTTAAGAATTGCAGAGACAGATAATTGAAGGCATACTACCACCAAACAGGTATCAAATGGAAATTATTATTTAAAACTTAAGGTACAGCTGGAGATAAAAATGGAGTTTCAGTGGAAGTGTCACAGTGTGAAGGAAGAAAGAAAGGAGGGGGCACAAGAATAAAAAAAAATACTTATTTGTAGCTGAACAGGACCTCTAAAGTTGTGTTACTCTGAAGGAAAGGATTACAACAATCAGCAAACAAACAAAACACCTTCGAAAACAAGTGTTGGAAAGTTTGACATTATGGACCAATGTGGAATAGACCCAGAAAAGAATCACAGAGTAATTAACGACTAAAAAAGATCCAAAGTGATGGCTTATACAAGACACCAAGATCTGATGAGAAGCCACTTAAGGTCTTGTAGAACACAATAGTCTCTACACACCACAAGCAGAATCAATGAGAAAGGATCAGAAAGCCACAACCAAACAGACAGAACTTGACATGCCTGACACCAAACTAGATTCAAAGAACAGAATATTACTCTATTTACCAAGATCAAGAATAAAAGAAACAAACCTGAGCCTGAAAGGGGATACATGGAAGACTTTCTTTCAAGTCAGTAACACACAACAGTGTGGAATTACCGCTCAAGAACCTGGGCGATAGCAACCTCAGACTGAGGAAAATAGGAAAGGCCCAATAAAACTTAACAGAATTCTTTAAATTCTTAAGTACTAAGAGCAACAGAACAAACCAAGTCTCCAGAGATTACTTTAGGATTGGAGATTACAGATGGAGATTTGAGATGTCTCATTACAGGAAGACATTAACAGAAAAAGTTGTCTCAGTGAACTGATGACCTAACCTGGATTACTGTCGCAGTTCCTGTGATATGTTTAGAATGAAGACTTAGGCGGGAAGCAGTGCAGAGAATACTGTAAGAATACATTTGGAATCTGGGATTATGCCTTAATTAAAAAAAAAAAAAAAAAAAAAAAAAAAAAAAAAAAAAAAAAAAGAGTAAAAGTTTGGCTTGTTTAACCTACCAAAGCATGACAAAAACCACTATTATGCTTTATGAGTACTGAGTGACAGGCACTACAGAAAGAAAAGCATAAGGAGCAAACCTTAAGGACAATGCTGACACAAGAACAAACTGTCCAGGACTACTCATAAAAAAATTAAGTGATTTCTAACCATCAAAAAATTAGTATTTCAAAAACACTGTAGTAAGAGAAAGAAAAGGAAGCCAAACTACTAAATTCTTAAATTGGTTGCATGCAGTAGTCTTGAGGATTGTATGCCATGACTGACCCCTGTAACACGCTAAAGGATGCAGCTCAAACCTGTACTTCTACACACAGAAGCAATTTACACAAAAACAGGATTTTGTGTGAAGACTTTTTTTTATGCTCCGGGTTTATTTTTTCTTTGTTTTGTTGGTTCGGGTTTTTTGTGTTTAAAACAAACAAACAAAAAAACCCCCCAAAAACCAAAACACACAAGATGAGTACACCCTTATATGCAATCTACCAGTAGAGGTTTCCCACCTCAGTTATGGCCAAATTTTACACTTTCTCTGGAGTGTCATGTGAAAAACGGAAAGGTTTCATATTGCTCTCAAATTGTGGTACAGAAGGAAGCCAAACTCTCAAAACACTGGCTATTCTGAAGACATGTGGACTGCATGTTTTCTAAGTTCTGCTGTCTTCCATCCAGAAAGTACAATTCTGTCAGAGATCTCCTTGCAACATTTTACCTTTTTTTGCTTCTGATTCGTGCTGGTTTGGTTGACAGGGCATCATAGTTTGATTTAAGATCTTCACTTCAGTCATTTCAGATAACTAAAATAAGGAGAAGAGAGTTAAACATTTTTTTATATATTTCACAAAATTAAGTTGTGAAGCTTTTTTCCTTTAAACATATCAAAAAAAAAAACCCCATTTCTGGGTTTCTTAGCTAAAAATAACAGTTGTAGCACAGTTTCAGTAATCCCATTTTCCTTTCACCAGTCACAAAGAGTTTGGACAATTAATACTTTCTGTGCATGAAGAAAACTGGATTCTGTTCATTTTTTCTACTCCTTGCAAATGAATCACCGTCTTCTTTACAGTGTAGAACAGTCTGAAAAGAAACAGTCCTGCACCAATTAAACTGTAGTCAGAACTGTAGCTATAACAGTTGATGCACCTTGAAAGATGAAGGTCCTACAAAATAACTGCAGAAAACTGTAAATAGGAATACTGTCATGGAAAATGCCTGAGAAGTTTAATTTGAACCTGTAGAATGTTTGTTACTCTTGATTACATACAATAAAAGAATAGTTCAATGACCTACAGATCAGTATAGGTAAGCATATTTGAGGCTACAATCTTTTAGACATAATTTTACAGGGCTACTGCTAGTTTTTTTAAAAAACACAATTACCTCCTCCTTTTCTCTTATCTCACCCAGAACACAGCCAGAAGCTGCTCCACTGGGGACTAATAAAAGCAGGAAGGACGTTCTTTAAGACCAAAAGAGACTTAGATTCTCTCACTTAACAAAAGGTTTTGTAAGCATCAAGACCCAACATCTACAGTATAAAACTGAGTTCCTTCCAGCTGCCAAAACCTTGAAGTGAGTGTTTTGGAAAGTAGGAAAGCAGTTTACCCTCAACAGTTTTGTCTTGGCTCCCAAAAGGCTCCACAGGTTTGGCTGAGGAATTTTAACCTCATTCTGAGACAGCTTTTTTTTTTTTTTTTTTTTTTTTTTTTTTTTTTGGGGGGGGGGGGGGAGGAAGAACTGAAAATTTTGGGAAGCATTTGTCAAAAGTGGGAGAGATCCTATTTTCTGGACAGAGACAGCAGTTAACACTTTGTACTGTAACTGCACCATGGTGCACTAAGACTACAAATTGTGACATGGTGAAATACTTCTGCTTGCACTTCCATTTTCTGTGGCTGAAATTTAGTTATCCTGATTTTTCTAAAATTTCTGGGGAAAAAAACCTGAAAAATCTAGGGATTTCAGCAAATGAAGTTAACAGAAAGCCATACTGCTAATTCTAACTGCTTTGTGATGTTCAACTATCTTCACCCATCTTAGCTATTCAAAGGCTCATTCCAAGTACAAACAATGATTTAACACCTTCTCAAATACACAAGAAAAAGACATGCATGATAAAGCAGAATTTACAGCAATGTGCCAGATCATGTCACCACAATATTTTTACATTTCTTCCTGCACCATCTTCCATCACATCATCCTGCCAACTGCTTTATAATATCAAGCATTCTACTATGCTCAGTTTTTGGTCCAGGGTTGTGTTGGGGCCAGTTCCATTTAACATCTTTATAAATGACCTGGATGAGGGGACTGAGGGCACCCTCAGCAAGTTTGCAGATGACATTAAGCTGGGTGGAAGAGTTGATCTGCTTGAGGGTAGCAAGGCTCTACAGAGGGACCTGGACAGGCTGGATCGATGGGCAGAGGCCAATTGTGTGAGGTTCAACAAGGCCAAGTACGAGGTCCTGCACTTCGGTCACAACAACCCCATGTAATGCTACAGGCTTGGGGAAGACTGGCTGGAAAGCTGCCTGGCAGAGAGCGATCTGGGGGTACTGGTCAACAGCCGACTGAGTATGAGCCAGCAGTGTGCCCAGGTGGCCAAGAGGGCCAACAACATCCTGGCTTGTATCAGGAATAGTGTGGCCAGCAGAAGTAGGGAGGTGATCGTGCCCCTGTACTTGGTGCTGGTGAGGCCGCACCTCAAATACTGTGTTCAGTTTTGGGTCCTGTCACTACAGGAAAGATGTTGCGTTGCCGGAACATGTCCAGAGGAAAGCAGCAAAGCTGGTGAGGGGTCTGGAGCACAAGTCTTATGAGGAGCGGCTGAGGGAACTGGGGTTGTTTAGCCTGGAGAAGAGGAGGCTGAGGGTGATACCTTAAGGGTCAAAAGACCCCAGATGTAGAACGGCTTACATGCAGATAATAACGGTTTGCCAAGGTTGCCAGACTAGAAGGAATGAGAACTAATTGATGTAGAAAGATTTGTGGCTCCTTACAAAGGACAGTTTTTTGATAAGAACCAGGTGTTTACCTCTAGAGCTGGTCTACACCGACCCTGCAGCTTGGGCAAGAGCCAAGGAGCAACTGAGTCTGCGCAAGAACAAGGGGTTACTAGCGGTGACGAAGAGGAGCCATCAGCCTTCATCCCCACTACCCCCAACGACCACCACCAGGAGGCACTGCGCAGGCGCAGCAGGGAAGGACTTATGGAAATGACCTCCTGAAGCTAATTTTAATACAAAGCGGAGACAGGTTATGCGTATGTATAGGCATATCGGAAAACTTCATACATATGTAATACTTTGCTACATATAAACAGGCAAGTTGCCGCTTGATGGTATGCACGTTAGGTGGAGCGATCCCCCGCGCATCCAGCACCGTGAATAAAGAATGCCTGCCTTCTAACACTACATTGGTGTTACGAGGTTCATTCTTCCCGATTTCGGTGACAAGGAGAGCCCTCATCACCCTCTACAACTGCCTGACAGGAGGCTGTAGTGAGGTGGGGGTCGGCCTCTTCTCCCTGGTAACAGGCGATAGGACGAGGGGGAAAGGGCTCACGCTGGTAAAAAAAAAAGGTTTAGGTTAGACATTAGGAAAAATTTCTTCACCAAAAGGGTTATCAGGCATTGGAACGGGATTCCCAGGGAAGTGGTTGAGTCCCCATCCCTGGAGGTTTTTAAAAGACAGGTAGATGAGGTGCTTAGGGACACCATTTAGTGGTGGGCAGGCACATTTGGATTTGATTATCTCAAAGGTCTTTTCTAACCAAATGGTTCTATGATTCAAAACTTAACATTTGAGTATCAACACTCACAAGAATACTCTTACACATGTTCCTATCTGAAATCCATCTCCAAATAATGGAATCAATCTATAAAGAATACCCCTAGAGCAGGACATGTATTTCTGAAGCTCGACATAATTTTTAAATGGTGGTCAAGGAGTAGTAAATTGAAACTGATACTGACTGATGGAGACTTTTCAAGCCTCTCCCTCTACCTCAAATAGATCTGAGGTAACGGACTCAACACTCTCCAGATCTTCTGAAAGTTGTTGTCTGCATACCATGAAGGAATAAAAATTACTCTTTGCTTTAAATTATCCAGTTAGGGCACAGTGAGTATTCAGGCACTTTCACTCTGGACACAAATTCGGTGGAAATTCCCTAAAATCAAGGCTAACATTTCAACATTTATAAGCATTATTACTGTGCTCATTATTAACAGTAGCTCTTCTCCACTTCCTCTAAGCCTCAAGACTACAAGTTTCAGATTGTAAGCTCCTCAGATAGTAATTTTACTTCTGTAATTCACTGTTCTTTATACTCAGAATTGAATTTAACACTGATGTGCCATAATGATGATTTTTTTTTTTCCTGGCAGAAGTCTAAGCAGCTTTAAGTGTGCATACTAAATATCCCAGAATAAAGCACTTTGGAGAATTTGGTTGCCAGATACTTTTTCACTGCTTTAAAAACCTGGTTTGTCAGAATTTGCTTTCTTTTCGTTTCTAAAGCCTCCTTTATTTTTTAAAAATCTATCTGTAAGTTAGTGATGACGAACCTGTAACCTAACCTATATCAACTTGAGTATTTATTCTCTCTTTAATAGATCATCACTACATAAGACTATGACTGGTATAAAAATTTCTAACAAGCTGGTTTTCCTTAAGCAGTACTAAGTGTTATGTCAACAGTTGTTCCTGTTTTTCACCTTACAGTGCGTTTAGTGTTGTGCTCATTTATCGTCTGTAAAAGGAAATATATTGGAGGACAAAAGGAAAGGGAATGAGGATAAAGTTTTGTGATTGCAGATACAAAGCACTATTACTGTCTTGCCAAAAAAAGCAGTAAGATTTTAAAGTACCTAAAATACAATAACAGTTTTGAAGAACAAGTTCTTGAAGTGAAATATATATATTCTTCTAGGAATGGGGACGTTATTTTATCGTATCAGGAGCCAAAGACCAAATGGATAACAACGTACAGCTTTCCGAGATCATCACTGATGCTTCTTGAAACATAGAGAACGTTCAGCAAGATTCATTAAAGAGTGGTAATACACAACTCTGTATCATCAGATTCAGGTCCCGATATCTTCAGAACTAGATACTGAATATTCCTGCTTGGAAAAATATTTTGTGAAGCTGCTACACCAGCCTCCAGGCCAATGCTGCCTATCAACTAGGGATTCATAGGTTACTAATCAGCTGGTATTTGAAGGTACCCATGAAACAGCTGACCATGAAAAGTATTAAAAAGCCTTTTCAATATCCTATGCCAAAGAAAAAGGGTTTTTTTTTTAAAAAAAATTCAGCTATACTAACGTCAAAGAAATGTAGTATGTAGCTACATGTAGCCAATATTGACAAAACTAAGTACTACAACATTGCTGATCACAGGCCTTTTCTAAAACGGAATAGTTTGTTCTCCTAAATACGTATTGCTCAAGAGACAAGTATAACTGTTAATTTCCCTTTTGTCATCAAGGATAGGCTATCAACACCTTGACTTTTTTTTTTTTTTTTTTTTTTTTTTTAAAGTCAAACACAGTTTCCAGAAGCTTCATACCATAAAGAAAGGACTACAGGATTATTAGACCTATTGTAAAATAAAAAAAAAAAAAAAAAAAAAAAAAAAAGGAACAGACACTGACACTTGGTCTAACAAAAAAACCCAAACAAAACAAAAACAAACACACCCTCCCTTTCAATACACTCTGAAGAACGTTCAGATCAGTATCAACAGAAAATCAAATTCAGACTATGAAACATTAAGCATTCCAGTTGGAACACTACAAACTTCATTTTGCAGCAAACAGCTACAACCAATTTCAAGTTTGAAGGACACATTGTACCATGTCTAAACCCAAGTACTTCTGGCACTAAAGCACTAGATTGCTTCTCATTTTTTGAATGCTAAGACCCTTTGATTGCCCAATCCAGCAAAGTCAATGAAACAGAACTACAGAATGCACTGAAACTGTTTAATTCGCTAGTTTTGTGAAGTTTGCTGCCTCAAATGAATTTGTGCATGTGCTAAAAAAATATTTTTAATGTTATTCTTTACACATAATAAGCAAAGACTAAATACATGTACTTTAAGTTTAAAATAGCTGTCTTAAATTCAATGAAGACTAAAGAAACTCTACACAGACTTTCATAAGACTCTTAAATAAGTAACTCTTAAGATGTATTCTTCAGCTATTAGTGCATGCAAATATCTGGGAAAGGCATTCCTGACACATTTCTTTTTAACACTTCTGACACTGATGGTTTATAATATATGAATTCAAGGACACTCCTAGCTGGAAATACAGTTTATTTTTCATTTGATAACATAAGAAGTCAGCTGACCTCCAATTTATAACACTCTAGAACACATTCTGTCAACTTTGTCATCTAGTATTTACTCACTACTCACCCAGTCAACCTTACTCTGCAAACATACTTCAGTGTTGCTAGGTAATTCAGTCTGGAAGTTTAACGCAATGGCTGATGCCGGTGAAGAGAAGAGAAAACATTAAGAAAAAAAAATACTTTAGATAGACTCCACATTTTTGTTTTGTGATACTTTCCACAGGAACATTACTGAAATCCAACTGCAAAGAGATTATATGGGCACTTATTCACATCTTAAAAGCTCTAAATCACCATCAAACCATTTTTTCCATTTCTTCCATGAATTTTAAACAAAGTAAAAATTTATCATGTCACTTAGCTTCTGTCCATATCAGCACAGATGTCACTGCTTCTCTGGCCACCAAAAATTTCTAATTTAACAATAATAATAGCTGTAATACTGCAATATCTAGAAGGCATACAGAGATTTAAAAACAAGAGCAAAATATACACACCTGACATAAACAGCGCATGATTTTTTTCTTAGGTTTGTTTGTTTTAAACTTGTATGAAGGCTAGATAAGAATACTACAGTGCAGTACATCATACTTGCAATAAAACCTAAACAATAATGTGTTGAATTACGTGTATTTTATGTTCTCAATAGCAGGAGTCAAGTAAACCAAGAAATCCAAATTTAACAGATAATCCTGATCCAGGTTTCTGAAGCCAGAATTTAGCTGCCAAGCTCTAACACCACCACCAAAAAGAATCCTGCGTAAACCTAATGTAGTTTAAATTCAGATTTTATCACAGAGATTCTGTCGTAAGATCAACACAGCAAGATATTTATACATAATTGTAGTTTGAAGAAAGTAATTAAGAAAACCCCATTCAAGTCACCTTATACATCCTTCTTATTTTCTTATAAGCAACTGAAGCTTTGGCAAAGTGAACTGTATCTTAGCCATGCTACTCACCTTGTTTAGAAGACAAATGATGCACAGGCCGTGCTGGCTGAAGGGATTTACCAATAAACTTTTTAGTTTCCTTTAACATTTTGAAGCACCACACTTTAAAAAAGCAGCAGAAATCAATACAGAGCATTCAGTTTCACATACAGATGTTAAGCGAGAAGAGCCGTCTATCTACCACTCATTAGTTGCATTTGACAAGAGAATATACTATTTTTTAATATCTGGGCAGGAAAAAGAAGAATGGTCTAATACACAAGTTTTCTTAGATGATAGAATATGCCAGATAAAATTTGCATAAAGACAGAATCAGACATCTCATTTCTCTTTCCAATTGAGCTACCCTAGCTTCTTCTCAAAAAGATGTTTTTCCTCTACTTTATATCTGTACAGTTGGAGAGATTGGGACACATGATGGAAATGAAGGTACTTTCTAACAGTTAATTTAACTCAGTGGGGGGTTAATTAATTAACATCAATGTACCCTTTCCAGTCTGCTGGCTACACAGGAGTTCCTTTTGTATCTCTCTCTCTCTACATAAACTTGCATAACTGTTTTTTAACACCTAGTTTAGTTAAATTAAGAAAATTTTGCATCTTCCCACTCAGTTCAGCTACTATAGAAGCACCAGAAACTGCTAAGGTTCTGCTGGGCTAAAAAAATAGCCCACTATAAGTAAGCCATCATTCATAGTATCTTAATTCATAATATTTGTACCTAAATTCTCTCCTTCCCACCCCCATTTCCTTTGTCAACTGAGGGATTTCATGATTTGAAGGAACATCTGCTTTGTTTAGAGAAAAAGAATAGCAGAAACGACAACCAACACAGTAATAATGGTACTGAAATTCTGTTTTCTCTACGAGACTTTACAGGACAAGGAAAGAATTGGTGTAACTATCATGACTTCAAGAGTTAAAACTATAGTTGTTATTATTATCCAATTCCAGTACAGAACAGGAAAAGAGAAGTTAGGCTATCTAAAATATGATCTGGTACACTCCCCACTTTAATTGGAAAATTATAGAAAAAAAATCCTCTATTTATTACATCATAATCTTTTGAACTTGAACACCGAACTTTTACTATATCCAAGTAACAGCCTTCTACCATAGCCAGTCTGAACACATTCAGGTCTAGAAACCAACTGTTAAATGAATTGGAACAGTTGAAGGTATAGCTGGGAAAAACATTCTGGTTTGATTCCCTGTTTTTTCTACATTCTCAACTCAAAAAAGAAAGACTTAAAGCTGTAGTCAAAGTAACAATGAAAATTCCTGCAGGTGAATGAACTGCGGCTACTGACATGGACAATATATTTCATTTTATCCAGGTTAGGAATGCTTGTTCAAACCATATTTATACTAGATTTCCACATAAAGCAATGCAGTAAGGATATTTTCACTGGAAGATTAAAAAAAGGCAAGTTTTCCTCCATACCCTGACTGCAAATGATATCCACACTTTTTAAAAACAAGAAAGAATGTTTAAGAGGCTGGCTACCTTCTAGAATGAAGCACACCTGTATTTTCTTAAGTGTTCTGCTGTCGATGAAAACAAGATGGCTTGTGGTGACAACAAAACACATTTTGCTCCACCTTGTCTAAAAAACTACATGCTCCCAAAGAAAGCAAAACAAAAGAGAACATGAGAGGAAGAGGAGAGTTTGGGCAGGCCTGAAACCAAGTACTGTTCTAACAGCTCTATTTCCTCCTTTAAGTTGAAGGAAGCAGCTAGGAAAGATCTCGCGAAGTTATCCAGCCCAACCTTCTGGATTAATAAACACATTTTGCTCCACCTTGTCTAAAAAACTACATGCTCCCAAAGAAAGCAAAACAAAAGAGAACATGAGAGGAAGAGGAGAGTTTGGGCAGGCCTGAAACCAAGTACTGTTCTAACAGCTCTATTTCCTCCTTTAAGTTGAAGGAAGCAGCTAGGAAAGATCTCGCGAAGTTATCCAGCCCAACCTTCTGGATTAATCCAGTGTTTTATCTGACTAACATCAAGAAAAGGAGAAAGAGTAGTTTTAACAGCTGAGAAACAAACTGCTTCCAGGAAAGACTACTGCTGCAGGGGCACCTCCTGCACCCCTGGACTTCCCCCTGACAAAGACCGTACTGCTTCTCAGGTGTTACTCCAATTGCTGACCTGCCCACCAGAAAGGAAGCCGTCGGCAGTAGCAAACAGGCCCACCAGGATTTCTTTATGACCTTTTTTTTTGGCATCTTAACAAATTGGGACATTCACAGCAGACAGCTTACGAGGGCCCATCAGAAACCTTCTGTGGAAAACTCTTTCCTGAACGCGTGAAGGAGAATTAGCACCATTTTTGTGAGAAAACCCCCGAGGCCAGCAGGCCCGCGAGTAACCAGAAACTGACCATCTCCGCCTGCCCATCGAGGCACAGCGCTGTTTCGCTTGGAGCCCGCCAACGCCTACCACAACCCAAGGCCGCTCTCC